GACTGACAGAAGAAAAGCAGTCTGAGCTGCACACGTGGATAAACTGCCAACTTCTACGACAGGCTCCAAACGATTCAGAATTGAAAGGGGGATTTGTTTCAGCCTGAAGGGGCTTCTCAAATATTTATTAGATTTCAGAAATGTTTCTTTATTTTTTTTAGTTATTCCTCCTTTAGCCGTATTTGTTTCCTTCAGAAACACTCATCAATAAGATTTGTGAAAACAAGGTCAGATGAAAGAGGTATAATGAGATATGCTTTCATCCAGAATTCTCCAAACACAGAACAAATCTTATTAACTTTCAGTAAAACAATTCCACGCGTTGATCCTCGCTGAGACAGATTTGGCCTGGTGAGGTTTTCATCTCCAACCTAATAAGAAACAACTGAAAGGAAAAATCCCACCAACATAAATTGGCTTAGGATGTTTTATTCTTCTGGTTGCTGGGATTCGCTGGGTTGTTGAAAAGAACTGAACTGAGGACCGTGTTTCTGCGGCAACTGAATTCCTCTGTAACTCTGAGCAGGGATGCTGCTGCTCTGGATAAAGAAAAAAAAAAAATGCGGCCGAGCCTGCTGTTCGCTCTTATGGCCGAGAGACACGGCGACATCGTTGTGCACTTTTTCTGTTGTTTCGGTTGCTCAGAGGCAGCGTCCGCATCACATCCCCGTCCAGAAACTCAATGTGTCTGCCTGACGGGTCAGAGGAACAGAGCGGAACAAAAAAGAAACGTCAATGTTTCGCTCAGCTGCACATTCTTTGAGTCTTTTTGCACATTTGGAAGATGTAACATCAGAGTCCGGTTCGATGCCTCTGTGAGATGGAGATGACCATAATTATCAGGGTGCGTGGCTGCCGTCTGTGAGACAGTCTGTTGCTTCTTGACCGGGATAAAAAGACGAGCAGATCGTCTTTCGGGGATGAAGAGGAGGAGCAGCAGTAATGGAGGTGTGGAAGAACCTACAGTGAACTTAAAGAGTCTCTTGAACAGACAACAACAATCTCTTTGTCCAGAATGTTATGGTTTTGCATTGAAGGTATGACGACGGGAAAAAACAGAAGCGTAACAAAAACAGTCTATTTCCTAACATGACACGTCACTGGTGCAGTGAGAGGAGGAGGAGGAGGAACAAAGAATGTGTAGAGGAACTGGAGGGATCCTTCGTTAACCAAGTGAAAAGTTTTCAAGCCCTCGTCTTCATCTCCAAACAAGTTTCATCCTCGAGCTCCAACAAAGAGGGGTGAAGTCGTCCTGGACTCTTTAACAAAACTGGACTCATGATCTGTATCTATCTCCTCTGCACCAGACTCTAGACGAAGAACTAGTGGTTGACGAGACCCTGCAGCATCATCATCAGGCGCCGCGCCCTCTTGCTGAGCAGGCTGTGGGGGTCCTGCTGCAGGAACGCAAAGAGTTTGGGTCTGACCTGGGCCAACACGGAGGACATGTGGTCTCTGGTCAGCGGGTCGCCATGGTCCAGGTTCATCACAGCATCCTCCAGGTAGCTGCACGTCAACACAGAGGGAGAGAATACAAGTTTCAGGCAAACAGAAATCATGTGCTGCGGAGAGGAAAAAATGAAATGAAATAAGTTTGACGTGTACAAGATGAAACTTCGAATCACGGCCTTCATTCTCTCAGATGTGAAACCAGAACAAAGAAACACGGGCTGTGTTTTGACCCTTGGAGCAGCTGCGGGAAACTCAGATAGTTCTGACTCTGTCCCAGTCGCCTTTCACAGATTGAATCTCAAGCGTCGTCCTTGATCACCTTCCTGGCTGCCGGCCCGCTGTGTGAGCGCGAGCGTCTCCTCTCAAATATCACAGCAGAAATTGAGTTTTCCTCGTTCTCACCTGTGTCCTGTGCTCTCGCTCAGGCTACAACACATTTAACTCTTCATTAATCAAGTCAAACATTTGGAGGGCAGACTCCAGACTGTGCTCCACTGGTTAATTTAAGACTTTTTAAGAAAGAAACTGAAGATCTATGTCAAGTATGACAGATATGAAGGAAATTCAAGTCCCAGAATTACCCACAGTTCCCAATAATTGAATATAAGGTTCCAGCATGGCTTTCAGACACTGAACTCCGCATAATATCTTGGCAAAAGTCTGAGTCAGTTGCTGTGGACACTCTTCGCCGGCCTCTTAGTATAAACATAATGTGGCTCTGTCTCTTGGCTGCATCACCCCCTCGCTTGAACACACCGAAGAAGATCCTGCTGCGTTGTTCATATGTGGAAAAAAAACTCCGGAGACACCAGACCTCACTGTGCGGACAGCTTCTTTACACGTTCCACCATTCATCTCCGTGCCAGAAACACTACTTGATCCTAGTATCACCATCGACAACGCTGCCAACACACTCTCGGGTCACGTCCATTCATTATGAAAGGAAAACCGCACAACGCACACTGTTTAAAGAACAGATAAAAAAAAAAAAACAGCAGTGCAGAAATGATAAAAGACACAAGGACACGGAAAGAGCAGAACAATAGCGAGCATCAAAAACTGCAATGCTATTCACAGGATCATTTACGCTCCCCAGGCAGCCATGTAGCAGAGCTGCAGACGGAGCCGGGTGATGGGGTCAGCAGTTTAGCACCGTTTAGCACTCGGGAGACGAGGGATAATGGACGTACGATGGAGATGAGATGGGGAGCAAAAGTTTAGGCAAAGAGCGACTTTATTATTGATCAAAGGGCAAAAAGGACTCGGCTTGTGTGGGAGAACAGGTGTATAATGTAATTCATAATGAGTGCTTCCGCTGCTTTGTGAGAAAATGAGCTCCAATTCAAGACATGTTGTGGAGACGATAACTTACACACTTCACGGGTTTTTGATTAAAACCAGTGACATTTTCCAAAATTGCAAGATATGCCTGCTGCTTCTTCAAGAACAGGTCTTACATCAAACTGAAATGAGGATGTGATTTCCTGCAGGGAAACTAAAAAAGTACAGAGGTAAGAATTCTCAATATTTGTGTTATTTTGCCATTGAGGCACTGTATTTATTTTGGATGTCAAGATTCATGCGGCACAGGGGTTATGTTTTTATCACATTATCTTTTAGACCGGTTTTGATTAAGGGACAGATCAACATTGTACGTTTTTTTTAAAACATTTGCTCAACGAATGGGGGACTAATATCTCTGAGTATAATTTGCATGATTGGATTTAAGGAGACTGTTGGGCCTCGGTGGAGGTTTCTCGTTGGCTGTGGGCAGCCTCACTCCTCTGCTGCAGTGGAAGATGTGTTTCCATTAACTAATAAACTTAGACTATAGGGGTCCATTTCTCAAAAATAAGAAAAAAAGAACTTTAACGTTGTGTTTTGCCCTGGTGCCCTCTTTTGCTCTCTCTCTTTCTCACACACACAGATTTATGACCATTTTCAAGACAAACCGATGTAGAAACAAGGCGCTGGTAGTAGCAGCTTCAAAACTGACAATCAGGACACGTCAGTAAAAACAAATATTACAGCAATCCGACTCAACACCACTGGCATAACTTCTTTTCTGATATCACACACGTTCCTGACACTGTGGTCCTAAAAGTTTGTGCCAAATTACAAACTAAAAAAACCAGAGCCCTTAGACCAGCATTGTAACCTTTGAGTTGGGAGTAATAATGTTATAGACTCAAAAATCACATTATATACATACTTTACAAAAAAAAGGTGCATAAAATAACCGTGGTTTCCTCACCTGATTTTGAGCTCAGAGCGGGTGGAGAGGTTGGAGGAGAGCTGCTGGATGAGCGACAGCAGCACGGGCTGGCTAAGAGGGCAGGGGTGCTGACCAAACACCTGCTGAGAGTCGATGGTCTCACACACATACAGCACCAAGTTGAGATCTGTGGCTGACAGAGCCTGGAGACAGAGTGAGACAGAGGACATTTTGTTTTATGACGATATTCTAAAACAAGCTTTGACGAACAGTAAACTTCTCGTAACTTCTAAAACTAGAAATATCTGTAAGAAACAAGTTTGCTTGAAAAGTGCGTCCAAACACTGGTTTTATCCACGTTCATCAACTAGCAAACAGAAAAGACTTCGATCCGGCAAAAAGAAGAGAAACTTTCACAGTAAAAAATAAAAGCTTAAATAAAAATTTTTTGAAGCAATATTGTCGTTGACATGAGCTCATAACATAAACATTTGTTCACACCAGGAACGCAGCAGAGCTACAGGACGAGTGGGGCCAGCATAAGGGACTGTGTGAAGCTGTAGCAATAAATTTGCTTTGTTGGCCCCGCAGTCCTGGTGGGCCCTGTGTGAGCATAAGTGTGTGTACCAGTGAATAATTTAAACCTATAGGAGGTTGTTTGCATTCATTATCAACTGGAAAACACTTTTCAACAATTCAGCTGTGTATGTGTATGCACGTGCATTGTGTGTGTGTGTGTGTGTGTGTGTGTTACCTGCTGGAAAGCCTGGTTGAGCTGACCCTGCTGGAGGAGCTGCAGGATGTTGGTCTGCTGTGTCTGGTAGTCGAGGTGTGCCGTGGGAACGGGCGTGCCGGCAGCTGACCTCATCGCCTGCATGATGCTGGAGGTGACCACTGCCTGCTGCTCCTTCATGGCCAGGCCGACCTCCCCTTTAACAATCCGCTGAACGTGACTGAGAATAGACTCCTGCAAACTGTGGGAGGAAAAGAAAAGATGAACAAGATGTGAGCACAGAAAAAAGGATATGCTCCATTTTACTTCACTGACCATGTTGGATCTCGGAGTAAAAATCTGCCCCAGCTCAATCGGGCGTTGTCGATTCTTTTTCAATATTATTAAGTTTTATTTGGCCAACTACTCACTCTCTGCTCCACCTACGGCAAGTGTATAAACGCTAGAGGCCACTGAATTAATTGCAGAGGGAACAAGAGACTCGATCGAATTTATGTTCTAACATGGGCTCCAGGATTAAGCCTTGCTTGTTTCTACTCTCCAATCCATTACACACCTGCTCAATAGGCAGTGGATAAGGCCAGGACTGCTGCTATAGGCATCTGCTGATGTGCATATCTGATACTAAAAACATCAGACTAGAATGTTAATCAGAGCCATGACGTCAGTCACTGTGAGCAGCGTCACTCAACAACAGGGTGTTTTGTCACTTTGCAGGGACAATTTCTACAGAGTTTAAACAAGTTCAATTCACTATAGTCTTTCCCACAGTCAGAGCAGAGCGTACTGAGATAAATCCTGACCGGGGTATTTGGTCTCGTTGGTAGTTTTATTAAAGGGTGCTAATATTTGTATTGTTGACACAGAAATACAACACAATGCATGGAAATAAACACATTTATCTTGGGGGAAAAAACCTATTTTAAAGGTTGACAGAAGTAGCATTAAATGAGCCTTCACATAATGGAGATGCGAGATCTAGCACCGAGTATTTCAACGTATGTAAGACTTTTTAAAGCCTACATTTTTGAAAGAATCCGGTAGATTTAGGGGGCTGATATCTATGAGTGTGGGAAAAGTGGTGCAGATCTAAATAAAAATCCAGATATAATGAATGTGGAGTCATAGGGGAACAGTTGGGTCTTGATGGAGGTATGTACTCTCCAAAGTACCATTCTAGATTTTTAATGACACCGGATAAAGACCAGATCGAAGAGGGAAATCTGGATACATACTTTCCCACCATCATCTGGATCTGGTGCTGGACTTCGCCTCGGACGTTAGCTGTGATGTTATTGGCCAGTTGATCGCTGGAGCTCTGGAAGCTGTCAATCATCTGTTGGAGCTGGCCAATCATAGGGTCTCGGGCCTCCTGCTCTCTCTGCTTTCTGTTCTTCATGTGAGTCTCCAGCTGTTGGATGTCTACAAAGTAAAATATAATTAATAAGAAGAAGAAGAATTTGTTTCCTTCAAACAAGCAAACACAATATAAATGCAGTCAAAGGTCCATTGTGTATTATGATAATCAAATTAATCAGATGAGAAAGGGCAGCAGAAATGCCAAACGCACTGAACATTAATAACCGACACTGCAGCTCTGAAGACAAATCAGCTGATTTATGTGTCCTGCTCTCTATTGCAACAAACTTTATGTATTTGGTCAAATTTCCACCAAACTTTCTGGAGAAAAAATAAAAAATATATTTAAGGATTTTTTGCAATTCAGCTATAACTGTTATAATCCACTTTATTCTGAGGATGGCAAAGAGGTTAAGATAAATACGGAGCTGGAAACACGCTTTAAAATGATATGAGAACAATTTCTCTGTTTCCTCTGTGGCCTTCAGAAAGTTTGCTGCCATCATTACTTGTCTGAAGTTGCACCACATCATTAATTGTTGACTACGTTGTCAAACAGCAGAAAGTGAACAGTGCATGGTCACTACCACTAAACCAATGCACTGCTTTGTTGATTGACGTAACCTGAAAACCTGTAACGTAAGTCACACCAAATGTTTTTGTTTATTTTCCACAATACCCACACCAGAGACACAATGAGGGTATAAAGAGCAGCTGAAGGTGTGTGCAGTAGTTATGTGGTAGAGCTGATGTTAGTTGCAATCAATATTTACACACAAAACACTGAACTCTAAATTTGATCATGGATTAAATATAAATTGGAACAAGCTCACAGACACACACACACACACGCTCACAGAGGTACTGCAGGCTTTCTATTTACTGCAGACTCCGCTCTATACACATTATGACAGCTTCTGTAAGATTTTTTAAAAAACGTCGTCTGCGAGAGGTGAGCATGAACAGTCTGAGGCTGCTTATCAAAACATCAGGGCTGTGACTCTGAAAAGGCAACATTACAAAAGCTGTCCCTGAGCTTTTTGAAAGAGATGGTTATTTAATTAGACTTCCAGATAAACAGACCCTGGTTTCAGGGCTGCATCGGGGGAAACAACCTACATCAACAAACCATTTTCTCCGTCATAAGGAAACATGTCGTCGTGAGATACAGCAGAAGCTTCATGGGAAGTTTGAACATATAACAAAGAGCACTGAAGAGGAACCACATATTTGGCCTTGAGTTGCAGTCGGACATGTAGGTCATTCTTTATAAATCTTTACTAATGTTTTTCTGATGATGAAACCACAGATGTTGATGAGGTTCTTACATTCTTGTGTTCCTTGTTTGAAGCTGTCGTTGATTTGCTGAAACATGGACTGGCAGCCTCTCTCAAAAACGGGCAGCACGATGCCCTGGAAAGCATCTTTGTATGCGGCCTGGATGGGCCCCTGCATTGCTTCAGCTGCTGCTCGACCAATTGCATCTGTCGTGTTCTGGGAAACGGGAAGCAGAAACAGAGTGTTGTGTTTAAGTACACATGGCTTACTCTGCACAGTACAAATGAGACTAGAATCAATTACCTTTCGGTGTATGCCAAAAACAAGTTTTGTGAGGATACTGTGACCTTGATCTTTGACCGCCCAGATCTACTAAGTTTAACAGCGAGTCTGAAGCCATTTTCAAACGACCTCCAGAGACTGTCTGTCCAATTAGGTGGGGACTTTCTCCGGAGTTTGCATTTCACACATGAGCAACACAGTGGAACATTCTCTGCTGAGATGCATTCACAACTGCACAGAAATCCCTGGAGTGTGTCACGTGTATTTGTTAACAGCACATTCACACCAGCATCGGCTCTGATCACCAAAAGCTGCCTCGACATCTTTGTCAGTGTCTCCCTGCGTGTGTCGCGACGCTTTTTCATCCCGAAGTTATTTACAATTATATTTCTTGTCTTTTTCAGTTTTGCATCTGTCATGTGAAAGACAAATCATCAACAGCCGCACTGGCTCGCAGTGAAGCCTCCAGTGGATCTCCTGCTGTGTTCTCATATTGGCTCACTCAGGCATTATCTGGAGTTTTTACTCTGGGCTCGTGGAGAAAGTCTGGAGCCTCACTCCCACATTTTAGCCACTCCGGAGAATTACAGGACTTTGAGGTGTCGCAGCGACCTTGAACCTTGAGCACTTTGAACATCAGTTCATATTTGAATCCAAGTCAAAACACAGGTGGTGAAGTAAGCTGGTTACCTACCTTGGATTTGACCACCTTGCTGACGTTGTCCTTCAGGGTGACCTCCACAGCGTTCAGCTTGGCAGCAATTGTGTTGTTCAGCTGACCTGTCACAGGCTCCATGCTCTTTGAAATCGCTGGAGAGGGAAGAGAATTAACAAGACAGATTAGCAAGAACCCTCCTGTAATTAGGCCCGTGATCAGCGAATGGGGCGGGGGGGGAGGAGGAAAAAGACAGGAACATCTCATCCTCGGGATACAGGGCAGGAGAGGTAAAGTTAGAAAACATCCCTCCAAAGACTGCCTAATTATAGTGTCAGTCCAACAAACCTTAGCTGGCTTTGTTATATTTAATTTAACTTATGCCTGGGATGATCTCAAGCATTATTGATTTATTGATGTACTGTCTGTGCTGCATTTGTCTACTTCTTGTGCCGCAAAACTAAACTTTGCAGAGATGATAAAAGAAAGGAGACAAAATACAAGAGATTTATTTTACTATGAAAAGCTAAACTTGTAATAATCACTGCTGATTCATATCAAGGATGCACTGACTTGATTTGGGGACTGGTACCAACATTCTGACCTTATTAGATGAAAAACAAATTAGCCATGTCGTGACTTAATGTCCTTAAAAGATTCAGCATTTCATCTGTTACCTTCACTTAGCCACAGCAAAACACCCAATCAGACATTTCTCAACGTTCTTTTCGTTTGAAAACTATTTGCGTCCACTTCATGATTTCCTCATCTTTTTTGTAGACACCTCTGTCCACAGTTTAACATCTGAAAAGCATCAAAACAGCTACTTCTCGTCTTTCCATTCTCTCTTTTCTATTCTGGTACAACTTAAGTGCATCACAGCATCTGGTGAAGAGAAGCAAAGAACACCCAGCAGAGCAAATCATTATTTCATGGTAAGGACCTGATGACGACCCAGAGTCGATACTCTGGTTGTTGGTGTGATTCTCTGCCTATGATCTAAGGCAAAATTATGAATTAATAATAGTATTTCACCTGAAGACAGAGTGCAGTGTAGTTATGTTCCATGACTGTCTGCATTATTCAGCTTCTGGGATCTAACTTTGGTTCTTCTACCTGACTCACTAAAGAGCACCTGACTAATCAGCAGTGCCTCGTTTCTCCTTCATAAAACAGTCAGGACATCGACATACATACAGGTAAAGCTGTGCTGAACAATCAGATATACTGGTTGTTTAAATGAGTGACTATAAAAAAGGATAGGGTTAAGATAAAAATAATTAGTGCTATAGAGCACTGCAGTTTGGAACCTTAGGAACTGTAATATATATATTTTTTTATTTGTATTTGTAATGTTGGACGTTATTCAGCAGTCAGTGGGAAGAGTTAAAGAAGTGACATGTATTTTTCCGTCTACTAAACCAAACACAGAACTGAAAGATGACAGAGGAGCCAAAGATGTGAGCCAGCAGACAGTGTAACTTGCAGACTGATGAAATCTTCATTTGCGACGGGCAAACAATGAAATGGTGCAATACCACCATCACCTGGTATGTTTGACTTCTTACAAAGTCCCCGCGGTCTGAGCAGAGTGGAGCTCTGCTTCCCACAGAGAGAGAGGTCTGCCTTCATAAAAGAAGAGCTCTTGTCGATATTGATATAAACTGATTAAATAATTTAAGGTAAGTTATTTTAATGTGTCAGATAGACAGAGCCACACGGGATCAGGACATCACAAATAAAAACAGTTTGAAGGAGAAAATGAAAAAACCTAATCCACGTTTCCCCTGTGATAGAGAAGGAAAACATATCATTTGATCAACTAGCTTTGCTTTTTAAGTTCTTTATAAACAGCTTAAGTTTTCAGTTTATAAGGTTGAAGGAAGGCTGGACTGAGGAAGCAGGAAAAACTATTGAGTCTCATTCCATGAATAGAAATTAGAGCCTGGTCTTTTTATCAGTTGGCTGATTATATCAGCCGGTATGAGTCTTTCATAATTTACCAGTATCAGCTTTTATTTTTTCATTAGCCGATATGCTTTAATTTACAAAATTAACAATGCAGAAAAGATGATCATTTAGTTTGACTTTTTACATAATATGTTTATTTACTAATTAACTTATTATATTTGGTGGTTTTTTGTATTTACAGTTTTTTCTAATCAAATCAATGGTAAAAATGTAAAATATCAAACCTCAATTGCATTTTCTTTGGCATAAGAGCTGAGGTCAAAGGTCAATATCAGACATTTTTGTACTCCCTAATACCAAGTATCAGCTTCAGCCTCCAAAAATCCATATCTGTCGGGCTCTAATGGAAATGCAACAGCAGGAGAGGACATTGTTTTACTGTGAAAAGTCCTAACGTGTTGTTTACGAAACTCAATCATATTTTATGGTTCTTTGGAAATCACCATCCACGTCGTGTATCCACATTCTGACTCTGATCAAAACCTACACCTGCGCAATGTAAATGGCTGCGTTGCAGTAAAAATACAGAAGAACATGACTGTGTGGTTGATTTAAGGGCTGCTGCTGTCAGAGAGGTGCTACCAGCAGGTGTAATCATGTACAAACATTTCTAGTAACACCAGGACGTTTTCATATCTCACGACTTGTTCTGCAACACCTCCATCTCCCCTGATGTTGTTTTTCTCGACGGAAGCCGTAGAAAGATGTTGATCCTTGAGATGTGGCAGTATAGATATGTGCATGAATAAAGCCATTTCTGATAAACAGACCAAGTACCAGTCTCTGGAGGCTAATGTCAGTGAGCTAGAACTGAATGTAGATTAGTGACACTTACATTCAACACAGGCCGCGTTTTCATTACCCCCGAGTGTCGATGAATACATAAGACCCCTCTATGTGATTGAGTCTCATCAACTGTGAGAATAAAGAAAGTTTGTGAAACGTTTGTGTGCTTTTCTTACTTTGCGGGACGGTTTTCTTCATTTCCTCCCGTAGCACTTTGTCCATTCTGTTGGTGAGCGCCGAGCTGAGGGCGTGGCTGAGCTGCTGGCTGAGCTGATCCTGAAGCTGCTGCTGATGATTCTGACTCTCCGCCAGAACTCGTTCCAGTCTGCGCTCTGAGGTCGTGATCGGTCAAGGCTCAAAATAATAAGTTGTGAGGTTTTTTTTTACTGTCCGTCACTGTTTATAAGATGTCCTTGTTTGTTATGCATTTGTATTGTTGCTGTTCAAGGATGTAAACTGTTTGCTCGGTGTCGCTCGTTAGTTTGTCTCATGAGACGTGGTCTGAAGGGGTGAATATACAGAGTTGTGAAACTGAATTTGGAAATGCAAAAGGTGAGGGGTGAAAACATAGCCGCCTTGTCGGAGGTAAAAACTTCCAATAATGAGTAGTAGAGGATACGTTCTTGCTCCTGGTGGTTGGTCAGGACATGGTCGACCTGGGCCATAACGGAGCTCTGCATGGCTTCTATCTGTCCACGCAGTTCAGTCAGCTCCCTCTGCTGGCTGCGCAGGAGCATCAACAACTCCTCCTGAACTTCTACAGTCATCTATAAGCAGATGGAGACAATGACTGAAAGGAAGTAGGAATGACATGTGCATTAAACAATATTTTTGAGTTTAAAACTGAACTAGGTAGAGGATTCTGTACTAAAAGATTTTAAAATGCACTTGATACAATGATGGCTTGTATCTGCCAGCTTATTTTGATATTTTCAATTAGCTGCCATTTTAATGATAATATAACAGCAATATTTTGTAATCATCTTACCTGGCCTGAGTCCATTTGTCTGGACTGAGATGATTCACTGAGAGGAACAAAGAAACACATTTATGTGAAGGACAGTCAACATTTTTGACTAATTTACATATAGTTATGTAGACCAAACAAATTATATTAGAATAAGTCACGAACGTAAAAGTAATGAGTCATTGCACAGTTTTGTTCATTGCACAACCTGATGTGAAGACACACAGGGAAAAGAAAATCTCCTAATGAGTAAAGAAATCATAATTCTTATCATAACCTCACTCCATATGTAGATTTTCCAAATATTACATATCATATCATTTAGCTGACGCTTGTATCTAAAGCGACTAACAATAAGTGCATTAAACCATGAGGGTACAAACCCAGAACAGCAAGAATCGTGTAAATACAATTAGTCCTCCAGAAAAGCCAAACTACAAGTTCTACATGTGTGTGCAGCATATAAGTTTTTTTAATAAACACCAGAGTTGACGATGGTAATTAGACATCATCTTTTTAGCCAAGGTGTAGTCGGAAGAGAAGTGTCTTTAGCCTGCGGCTAATATGAAAATACCCATCATCCTTCTTGTTCTTCCTCTTCAGTTTTGGTGAACCTCGTGGTGACGTCTTCCAGTCCTTAACAGGGATCCTGTGAGAGGAGCGAGAGCCACAGTTTCCTGAAGACGATGCCAGGCTGGCCACCTCATCATCAGGGTCGCTGGGAACAGACACATCGTCACAAACACACAAGACAACAGCAAAGCTGCTGTGAAGCAAACCCGGATTTCATATGAATTCAATCAGCTTGGAAAAGGTCATTAAAAACAAAATTATACTGTGAATAAAGGACACAGATCAATGTAATTTCTTCTTCTGAATGGATGACACGAGATGTGTCTGCTCATTTGCATTAACAAGGAGAAGGTGTGTTTTTTTGTGTTACCTCTGCTCTGCACCGGTGTCCTGACTGTCGTTCTGCGAGAGGTGATACGAGCGCCGATGGTACGGTGAGCTCATGTGTCCCTTTGACTCTTCCCTTGAGCTATAACACAAAATGGTTTTCACATTTCTTTCACAATTTCGACACAGATATGACCGACAGACCACTGTCGTCTCATCCTTCACATTTGAAAGCCTCATACAAATGTCTAGTGGTGGACAATCAGTGCTTTTTTTGAGGCAATCTAAGAGATTGCATCTTTTTACCATTTTACTCTTCTTGTTCTACATTAATAATGTGGATCCACGCTTCAATTACAAACCAGCAGAATCGTGCTGAATAAATGGCTGTGCTGATTGTCCAAATTATAACCTGCATCTCTGTCACAGAGTTTCTTTCATGCAGGTTTCTTCATGAAAGTCTGAGGAATGAAGATCCGGTGACCAAAAGGACTAAGTAACAGATATCAGTATCAGATATTTCTCAACGCAAAGTTATCTGGAATGGAAAAGAGTATTTAACTAAGATCGATAAAAATACACTCATCTTTCTCCCTTTACGTTCTAATTACTTACATAAGTTAAAAGTTAGGCAATAGAAAACAATACTGGTTCATAAGGGATAATTTTGCATGATTTGTAATTATTTGAGAACTACAAGTCACAAACGGACACCAAAGGAGTTTTATTTTCCCAAAACAGTGAGGAATTTCTCACCAGTCTCCCAGGCCGTTGTCCCTGAGACTGTTCCTGGTTTCTCTGGTGATGTCGGGTGCAGCTGGCCATGGTGTGTGGCTAACGCTACCATCTGAGGACCCTCCTCCTACCCCAGGGTTCTCCTGCGATAAGGCATTCTCCAGCAAAGACGGAGTGTGGCTGAGTCTAGGCTCAGACTCTACAGCCCCACCTACTGGCCCATCTGCACCTCCAAGTTCCAGGGGTAATAGACTGAGACAGAAAATACCGTAGTTGGTGTTTTGGTTACAATAGGAACAGTATTCAGACATTTTCTTGACTTGATTATATATATACATTTTATCTCATAGTTACAGCATCATTGCTGGTCATACCTGTTGTTGGCGGTGCGTGGTGAGGTGAGCAGGTGCAGAGCAGAGGCGGCAGACGCCATGCTGTCTGTCTGAAGCGCAGAAAGTGGTAAAGGCTCCAAGCTGGACAGGAGTCCACGCTGAAGCTGCAGTGTCTGGGATGCGATCTCCGGCATGTCCTGGGACATTGCAGTGGAGGCTGAGGAGATGACATCAGGGGAGCGGGCCCTGGTCGGCGAGGCCAGTGGTTGCAGGATTGGCGAGTCCATGATCTGAGGGCTGTCAAGTGCAAGAAGACCACTAGGGGACACCAGAGCCTGGATACGGAGAGAAAGCATGTATAGAAAATAAAACATCATGCTTTAAGAGAATTGGGAGTTTTTTAGAAGATGGAAAGTGTCAGGGCCTACCTGTAGGTTCTCCAGTCCAGGCAGCAGTACAGCAGAAGCAGCTCTTGGGCTACTGGTGGAGGCAGAGAGTGTCAGACTACTGCTGCTGCTCTCTGCTCTGTTAGGACTCTGACTGACATCGTCTAGAGCTCTGCACACGGTAAGACAGACACACTGTCCTCAACCATACATGTTTATGTGTACGACCAGAAACAACCACGAAGAAATTGTGTTGGTATGTAAATCTAAAGCTGCTTTCAGACATGCACTACACTCTGCAGATCCTGCGTATTTTTTTTCCATAAGAGATGTGTGAAAGCAAATGACCGAATGAGATGCTCCGCAGTTTATCCACCTGACCTCATAGTATAATATCATAGAAATCCAGGAGAAGTTGGTGTGAGAACAAAGATGCTTTATAACAACCTGCGCAACCAAATCTTTACTAGACTGACTGTAGCTGCATTTAATATAGAAAAGATGACAAATATTTCACATTAAAACCTTCCAGATGTATATTACAAACACTGACTACAGCAAATTACATTTTAAAAACAGTATTCCAACTAAACTTCATAAGGAAACCAACCTGTTAGTTGAGTCAGAGTTGCTGCTGATAGCCGTTACAATGGTGAGGCTGCTGGCACTGCTGCCAGGTGATGCTGGTACCTGCAAGGTGACAACAATGAGAATTACAGGCAGAAAAACTGATGAAGCGTTAAAAAAAAATCCCTTCTTAGTGGCTTAGAAAAACAAAACAATGGCAACAACTAAATCACTAATAAATTCACATGACAGTTATATAATTTGGCAGCAGCACTCAAGCAGAGATGGAAAAGGTGATATTTTTTGGTAGACATGTTGCTAGGCAACCACTAAAGACCTGTTTGAAGCAAAGTACTCATTTGCTGAAGCTGATGTGTTTTTGACCATTTTTAAAACTGAAACTCAGACATGAAGACAACTTCCTTTTCCATTTATGGATGAGAGATGGAGACTGATAATATAGTTGTCTTCCGAGTGTTCGTACCGAAGTGCTTGGTGTCATGAAGGCATCAGGAGTCATCAGCTTGGGCATCGGCCCACTGCCAGAGACAGAGTTAGACAGGAAGTCAGTGGGAGCGGGAAGCGATGGGATCTTTCGCAAGTCGGTCTGGGATCCACTTCCTGACTCTTTGTCAGAACTCTGGTCGGTGAGATGGTCTGAAAAAGTTGCTGGAAAGACAAAATGTAAAGAGTCATTAAGTTATCCCAGAGTCCCAGAATGTGATGAGCTACACTTGCAATACTCTTCTCTCTACACAGTTCACAGATGATTACAAATGTTCACAAAGATAAAGAAAGATATGAAAACACAAAGATGCTTCATCTTCATTCATTGGGATTTGTCCTTCGAGAGTGTTGGACTCACCAAAACCATCCTGAGAATCAGAATGAGGCAAGAACAGTGCAGAACTTGAACGTGCGCTGGGTTGAAACCAGATCTGAACATCCTGCAGACTCCTGAAAACACACAACACAAACCGACACATTTAGGCCTTTTGTGTGCCTCTCGTTCCAGAAACTTTGGTGGTGGACCTGTCATGTGCCTGACATCACATCGTGAGTAGGGGACTTACTTGGTGTGAACACAGTAGAGTTTAATCTGGATTCCAGACTTGGACTCTGTGGGTCCTTGAATCCCCTCTGAAAGAAAGCAAACACACGTGAATGGTAATGCTGTGTAAATAAGATCGATGCTGCTACATACATCAACCGTGATTTTAATTCCGCAGTGTGTGCTCCTTTAAGAGAGAAAATATCCCTCCTGGCTCTACAACACTGATATTGCTAATTTAAGGTACATATGTCAATAAATATTTACTTTGTTCAACTCCATACAGTCACGTCACTCAAAAAGGAAGAAACAGCTGTAACCTGTGTGTGTGTTTGTGTGTGTGTGCGTGTACCTGTAGTCATGCTCTCACTCTCCTCCTCTGCAGGGAGGACCTCAGTGTGTTGCAGTCGGCTGTGGGCAACATCCCGGACTCCAAAGCTGAGCACAGGGTGAGTCAGCAGGAACTCTGACACAGCTGTGAAATTGGCGTTCCCTTTCTCCATGTCCTGCCGCAGCTCCATCACATATAGAACCTGGCAGAGAATGACGGGAACAAAGTATGAAGTCAGGCTCGGTCAGTAGGTAGAAATGACATTTTGGGCTGGTTTCATGGACTGATTATACCTTGTTCTATCAAGAATGACCCTTTCAATAAGATAAACCAAACTGACTCTCTGAGATAAGGTTTACCCACGCTTGAACTAATTTAATTGGGGTTAAATTAACTGAAACTATTTCCAGAAGAAGGATTTTAACCCTAAAGGGCAAAGTTCATGTTACGATTAATGCAGTTGTTGCTGCAATGACACTGATTGATAGAAAAATCACAGGAAATTGCTTAAAATTTCAATTGAAGACTAACTTTTATTATTTATTAAAACTCTAATCGGGGTTATTTCTAAAACTACAATTAAAACATTGTGCTGACCTTCCTCTGTACGTCAGTGAGGATGAGATACTCAGAAGCGAGGTCCAGACTGGCCTTCAAACTTGGCAGAGCTGAGGAGTTGAACGGATCTGGAGAGAACCTAAGAGAGGAAACAGAAGCATTAGAATTTGAAGCAAAATAATGAATTAATCATTATTTCAGATAACAGAATTATTCAACCTTAAATCAATTGACTCATGAAATAAATTTGACATGTCCACTGATCTAAATTTCCAATTTGACAGAAATCTTTCTCTCCCATACAATAACAGGGTATATCTTTAATGATAAACCAATTGAATAACCTGATGGTCTGTAGACAGGTCCAGGAAACAGTGCACCACATCTTCAACTCCTGGTTCTGATCAGCTCCCGTTATGAGGAAACGCCAGAAAGGAACGCTGCAAAGACAAAAAGTAGAAAGAACCAGAGGTGATGAAGGAGAAAGAGAAAATGCAAGAAGTAAACATCACATGGCAACAACCAGAGATTAATGTTATGAAATGTATATCACAGTTTTCACTGGAGGCTGTGTGTGCACCCATGTTGTACTAACTCTGGGTCCTGCCTCTTGTGGTTGTCACAGAAAAGAAGGCAGGAGAGGGGACGTCCTCCGTGAGGCTGCAATTCATGGAGACATCTGGAAAACAGAGAGTAAAGTGAAACAGTGGAGAAAACAATAATCACACACATTCAAATCACATGCTCCTTCTTTACCTGGGTGTGTCCTGTCGTCCTTCTATGTATATCTGCCAGAACTTGATGTATCCATCATGGCTGGCTGTGGCTAACACAGTTCCATCTGGAGACAAGGCCCCTTCACTGACTCGCTGGGGGGGACAGACATAAAAAAAATATACAGTCTAAGTATAGTAAGGAATCTATGTAACAATCCCAAATGGTAGAATATACCATTTGTAATTATTGTCCTTGTTTTGGCTTAAGTTAAGTTTATGCCAAGACTTAACATCCCAAGTAATGAACATGACCTTTACTTCAAAGTGGTATGTATTTCATCAAAGATCATATAAGTGTACTGTATTTACTGTGTTTTAAAACAATCCCTACCTGAGTATGTCCCTTCACTGTGATGAGGCCATCCTTTAGTTCTGTGGCATCGACAGGCCAACTGCTGTTGTTGGCTCTCAAGATTTCCAGGTCCCACACCTCAGCCTAGATGAAGGAGGTAGCAAAATGAATTATCGATTCTGATATATGGTGATACAGACAGACGGTATTCATGTGACTTCAGTGTTCCCTCTTTTTTGTAGAGTTAAAATGATTGTGTGGAACTGAACATTCCATAGATAACTTCCTACTTTTCACTCTGTTCTAAAAATGTGTTTTAGTAAGGAATGCTTCTGATACCCTGTCTTCATGTAGAAGGGCCAAGGTCTGGCTGGTGTCGTCCTGGTTCTCCTCGTTGTCATCCATAATGAACGGACACCAGATGAGGCGCCTGTGGGAGTTCAGTGGAGTTTCATCTGGCCGTCTAATATGAACCACTATCTGATCTCTGTGTGAAACATAAGTTAAGGAAAATGGGAAAGAAAACCAGTACTTGGAGAATCTACTATCTGCACTGTGACAAAAGTAGTGGGTGAAATCACAAGTGGTAAAGGCTGGTATTTAAATGGTGAGTAGACACAGAAATATAAAAAGTACAAATAGAGGCTGTAAAATCCACACACACAGATTCTCCCACACATCTTTTTCCACATGTCAGGATACAGTATCTTGTTTCCAGTGCAGGTGAGTTGCCAGACCATTAGGTTGCCCGCCTCATCTACACAACCCAACAGAGATGAGTCGAGGTGGGCAAAAGCCAGATCTGTGACGGCCCCTGTGAATCCCTTCAGCAGGGAACGCTCAGCAAAAGCCAGACTCAGCACACGAATCATCGCATGGTTGTTGGCTCCTGAAGAAAGACATTTTTATTTTAAAGACAGAACATAAACCAAGGGAGTGGTGGTGGTGGTGGAATAAAAGGACTCTCACCTCTGATGGCATAAGCGAGGAAGGAGTTGGACACAGCAATCAGTCTGCCATAATAATACTTGTGTTCCCAGTCATACTTGGCAACAGGTTGAATTTTCACCTGAACAGAAAAAAAAACATGTCTCACTTATTGAGAAATCACAGAACCAGGTTTTGAACATTATAAAAATCAAAGAAACAGATCCCCTTGAGGTACACAGCAGCTCGACTTCTATTCTGATTTTTAGACTTCCAAAGACATCCATGTTGCAGCTGCTGATTGCAGTTTGTACCTTGTTGCTGCCTCGAGCCTTGCTGTTGATGCTGGAGTCTTGACTTGCCACAATCTCCACATTGCTCGATGTGATGGAGATACCGGTGGACCCATCATCACCAGAGAGGCAGCTGAAAATGCACCAAATGGATTTTATTTCTTAAAATAAACTTACAAATATGACTCTGCTAACATGATGAGAACCTCACTCACATTATCTGACTCTCCTGGGTGCTGCAGAGGTCTGTGGAGATGGGTCTGGTGGAGTCTGACATGGTTGACCTGTCAGCACTTCCTAGAAGGCCCGCTGCCCCCAGTAACCCGTTCAGCTCTCCATTAAAAGAACGCTTTCTCTGACCATCACTTGATTGTACATCTGAGGGAAGAAATTGAACGCACAGGTTATGTTGGGATACACTGTAGAAAGTATACATGTACAAAGCCAGCAAGAAAATACTAAGCCTACCAACAAATGCTGTATGCTGCGGAGGCATATTTCTTTTTTTAAACATATTTTAGGCATGTCCCTTTTAATGACAGGGCAGTACAGGGAGAGAGAATGGGGTAAGACACAGCACAGGGCTGGGTGGAACCGAACCCTCTGGAGGTTTTATGTGGAGGCTTTTTTAACTGTATAAATTGGACACCACATATGCAATCATGTATCTTGTATAAGAAAGAGTGAAAGAAATAGGATTTATACTTAAGAACCTATTTGGTGTTTTAAAATCTGTTTGCATCTTTCTCTTTCTTGTAAGTTCCCGTTCTGTTTGGTTATGATTTCCTGGGGAAATACAGATCATAAAAAATGTGTCCTGGCCCTAACAACGAAACTGAAATTACAAAAGTGGTTGAGTAATAAACAAGGATATGTGCTGCTGCTACAGTGAAGACACTAGTGTATGAAAGATGTCACACTATACTACTTCTTTGCAGACATGAGTGAATCATCTGTGAGTGTGTGAATAGAGGATTATGTCAGAGCAGGAACACTACATTGCTTTTGAAACGTAGAAACACAGCAACAAAGAGGTAAACAATGTCTGTGCAGAACCGGGACAATGATAATGACCCATGTTCCCTTTCACTCCTCCGGCCCTGACTGTGTTCTGAGCAGGACCTCAACCATCATGTGACTTAATAAATGTCTGCGCGCTGTGTTGAAGGAAAGCAAATCGAAAAACAAAGCTGACGCGAATAAAACCAAATTAGCCAAGATCGACCTTCGTGCGCAGTTTAGGAGCCTCGAGCTGGTGTCGACAGCGGCGCAGTGTTTTGGCTAAACGCGATTTATAAACGTGAAGTTGAATTAACAGCACCAGAGACTCTAGTGAGCAGAAAAACAGGTTTGATTCTCTATTCAACCTTTTCCCGCACCTTTAAGGTTCGGCTTTGATAAAGCAGGCTGAGGCGTGAGCTAGCTCGCAGCTTAGCTAACATTTCGAAAGATGGGACACTTTCCCCCCCGACGTGGTTAGCTTTTCTGGTATTTCTCCAACTACACCCGCCGCTCCGCGGAAATTAAAGCGAACATAAACGCGTCGTGGCATCCAGATTGTGCTCGCGGGAACCTTTGGTTTACGCGCAGTGAAACTGCAGTCGAGCTAATTCTCCTTCTGGAAAGCGGCGCGCTAAAACCAACTCACTTTAGCGAGCTAGCATGCTAACTAGCTAACGTTAGCTCCTGCGGCCTAGAGCAGAGCAGCGCAGCCGCTTTGAATTCCCGGTCCGACTCACCGGTGCTGTTGCTGGGACGGTCGAGCTTGAGGATGTCCCGGAGGTGCTGGGTCGCACCCTCAATGTCTATATCCGAGCCGGACGCCATGGGTGAGGGAAAGGGGAGACTGGGCAGATTTAGGGGGGAGACAATAGTTTCTGGTTTGATGCGAGACTGTCACTGTTCACTTCGTTCACCCAGAGCAACCGTCTAAACTTCCGACATGTCCGCGCCGCAGGTTCCGACTTGTCGATGAGTCAGCGCGTTGGTTCCTACCCCTGATTCCGAACATAATGAACATCACAATGAATAACATCCCTGATATATATATTTATATATGTATTTATAAAACATATATATATATATATATATATATATATATATATATATACAACTTCATATTTGATGCTTTAAATTGGGCTTTAATTATTTAATCAGATTCACCCACTTGCTTTCACGTTCATTTTTATATATTAATTATATGTGTTTATTTGTTATATGTCCTTGGGTGTCCAAAAAGGTGCAGTGAAATAAAAAACATTATATTATTATTATTATTATTATTATTATTATTATTATCATTCACCACTTCGCAATTTCATCAGCAGCAACTTACAACTGCAGTTTTGTTTTTTATTGTTTTCTGGCTTTAAATATATTTTAAAACATGTTCAGATCAAACCACTGATGTCCCATTATTTAAAGCCATCAACATTGCATTTAAAAACAAATTAAAAATGTATTAAATAAATATGACTTTATGACAATGACATGAATAAGTACAAAATGCTGGATTATTGACCTGTAATGTTCCTATTTTGTTATTTGTGATGTAACACTAATGTCCAACAACAAATTTGCATTTAAATATATGTTCATCTTTAATTTTGCTTAATTCCTGGTGACTTCTTTTTAGTTGTTTCTTCATAAAATGTACCTCCCAGTAGCCTGTCATTACTAATTACTTTTTCTCACCACATGCACAAAATATCTCTGTTAGAAGAGTTTTGTTTCTCCAGTGAAGTTTCACTGACGTTATTTATTTTACCGTCTGTCTTGATTTTAACAATTTTATTCAGAAGACATGCTTATGAAGATCTATGTAACATCTGCACGTTTTTGTTTTTTGTATTCCAGCATAGTTTGTGTAAATTTATGACATGACAAAAGGTGTCTGCAGAAAGGTGAAGAGGTGAAAAGTATTTTGGACAATAAAGATCCTCAGCAAATTAAATGAAAATCCAGCAGTTTGTTTTTATTGGCACAGCTTAAACCTAATTCAAATGTTTCCAACTTTTCATTCAGTAACAGATTAATAGCTGATCAGTATTAAACACTTCAAACCCCTTAATTAAAAGGATGGCACACTAGATTTGATTAAGAACAGCATTTATGCAAGTTATAATGTTCAGGTTTTGTTGAAACTGTTAAAGATGTGTTCATTTAATTGTATGACCATTTAAAGGTTTCATTTCGTGGTGCTGTGGAGCTGCATTGCACCATACAAAGATGTGTGTGTGTTTATTTTTGTGCCTTCTTACTGATTTCAATGAGGGTGGCCAAAATATTAGGAGAACCTGTCTTTATAAAGTAATGCAGCTCAACAGCACCACAACCAGCATCCTCTAAATGATCTTGGAGTTGAATGAACACATGAGGTTGAGTCATGAGCACATCGGGTGACTGGCCTCTTCTTCCAGACGTGCACGTGTCTGGCGTCCTCCCTTCAGTGATCGTGAAGGCACACAACAAATGTAACTGACGCAATCTTCACAGTGAAGTCAGTGAACAATCCACTCAGCAAATCACTTTAGAAGGAAATAGAGTTCAAGTGAAGAGATGAATACCAGCTGTTCCAACACATGAATCATACCAACAGTATGACATCATATGCTCCATACGATAACACCTTTGACTGGTCACACAGTCTGTTGTAGCACCTTCGAGGGACTACTTTGGTTCTACTTGAAGTTGTGTTACATACAAATGATCTTTTTCTTTTTTTAAATCACAAAAATATTTGGTCCCAGCCTCAGCTGACAATGGAACCTACCTAATAACCCCCAGTTATTAATAGTGATCCAAAAAGCAATCGTAATTTATACTTGAGGGAGGCATATGATGCTTTTTAGTTTTTTCTTTTCTCTAATGTGTTATGTGAATGTAAAAGTTATAAAAAAGTTTTTAAAAAAAGTCTAAACTCTGTGGTAAAGTTAGCTCCTCTCCCCCAAAGAAAACACTGAAGCGACTGAAGCTCCTGAAACACCTCCGCAGTAGTACGGGCCATGCTTCCCATACTATTGTGATGTCACATTTGCATAATGCACACCTAGCGGCTAGTCTGGAATGTCCCCTAACAAAGCCAGGTATGGCAACAGTGGAGCCCGACATTTCCCCCACACGCTGGAGGCTGTTTACCAAGCAAACAATCAGAGCAGACTAGATTAATGTTTCAGACAGACGCTGAAAAGTGGAGCTGCAGCAATGGACAGTGTGAGGAAAGTGACGTGTTTAACATTAGAGCATGTAAACCTTTCCAAGTACTAACCATACTTACATTTATGAACCTGAATATGAGCATTGTGTCTGTTTTAAAGTCAACACCTGCATGAGGAGTCACAGACGAGACCGAGTGGGAAAACAATTAGTCAAAGAGAATGATATAGAGACAAACCCACAACCATTAAGAAAAAAAGTCCAGGTTTTATTGTGTATCGTGGCTGTAGTCCATGCCAGACGTGTGAGAAAGTCTGAGGTTGACACAGAGAGAGAGAGAGAGAGAGCGAGTGTGAGTATGTAAGATCAGAGCATATCACACAGCAGGGTCAAGCTTTGTCCATGATTCTTTGGTTGCGAGGGAAAAACCTGGAGTGAATCATGGCAAAGTTAACAATGAATTAAAATAATATTAAAATCAGTAAAATGCACTAAGGCAAGCTAAAGTCAATGCACAAGTGTCATCTAAAAACAAATTACAACACAAGTCAGAAGTGAAGATGAAGCTGACTCTGGACCTGAACATGGATCTACAAACCAGTCAACGACAGTGCTACCTGAACTGAGGTGACAGCAGTGGAGTCAACAGTAGAACGGGTTAGAATAGAGTAACGAAGGGTGGGGAGCAGAGCAGAGGATGAGTTAATGGCGTTGGTCAGCTGTTTTTTCCTTCTGGTGGCTTGAGTGTAGATATCGTAATGAGGGTCTCCCAGCGTCATGCAAATCAGCAGAGTGGCAGACAGGGGCGCCTGATTGGTCGGCCGGCTCTCAGTAACAAACACTTTGCAGTTCTACTGGCTGGGGTGGCCTGAAAACCCACCTGGATGAGGTTCAGTGATTGACATCGAAAATTCGGTGTTTGCTTGTTTTTCCAGACAGGCGTAAATGAAACAGCAGGAGGGAGGGACGAGTTTTCCCCCTTCTCTCCATCCTCGACTCCTCCCTCCCCGCCATCCATCCATACTTCGCACCTTAACTTTGGCTGCCCCTGCCCACCAGAGTGGGGAGCGGGCTTAGCCAAAGTTGTGGATGGCCAGCCTGAACATGTCATTGGTGCACACCCATGCGTCGTTAATGTTCTTGAGGATGAAACTCTGATGGAATCCCATGATGGGGTCTTCGTCAGCCTGCAGTCAAACACACAGAAGAGGTTCAGGACAAAGACTGAGATGGAGGCAGCATCACATGGAGTCACATGAAGTATTTTGTCTGTGCATATTTTAAATCCAACTCAGTGAAAGAAATAGAAGAAGGAAATAGTTCTTGAAATGGATAATACAAACTCCAGACACTATGGAGACAAATGTTACGTAACTACATTTAACAGTTTCCAATACACTTACTTCAACATCAAACTAAAATAAACAAACAGTCCAACAATAAATCTTATTATGTTCTGAATAAAGCATGAATGCCTGTGCTTCTTACTTTGAGCTGTCCGACAACCATACTCAAGATGCAGCAGTCTGGAGTTGGCTGGTGATCTTGCGCTGTTATACTATGCGCTATTTTTGTGAAGGGGAGACTCTGGCAAAAAAACACACACACGCACACACAGGATAAAAACATAAGAGAAAGATTAATCCAAAAATCTATTATTGATACAAGAAAAAAATATTCAAAAAGAACAGATATTGAAAGATTTACCCAAGAATCCCCTCATTTATCTTTAACTATTTCCTCAAAACTAAAACAGAAAGAGTAAATTAATCATCTCTGAACTCACAAACACATGCATGTCCACATACATGTTCCAGAAAGGGTAAAGGTAAATCAGATTACCGACTGCTGTCTGTATCCACTGATTTTACAGTAAAAGGTTAGGGGTCACCCCACCACCTGTTACCTCTGTATGAAGCAATAAGTTACCAAACAAACTCACAGAGAGCTTCTCAACAATTGCTCTTTTTCCCTGGAACTGTTGTCCTTCCCACGTAAGGCATGATGCATCTATCTGTGAGGAGCAGAAACACAGTGGTTATTAGGTTACTAACCTGGAATGAGTTAGTAAATGCAACATCTCAGTTAGACATACTTCATCAGGTATTTAGCACTGTTGACGTCCTTACTATTCGATCTCTGCTTGGCAGCTGCAACACTCTTGTATCTCGTATGATATTTTGAATGTGTATCACACATTTATAAAAACAAATTCACATTAAATTCAAGATAACATAATTCCTTCACTTTTTTTCTGCCTTAGTTTAATAAGGTACATTTTGTGAATTGATTATTTCATTCTTGTTATTTTATATTTATCTCTGAACTTATGCCAAACCTTTAATCTGACTTCCACTCAGCAGGAGCACTTGCTACATGTCGTTCCCCGAATCTCTGCAATTGCAGCCCATCCCTATGATGACACATCTCGTAACTCAACAAAAACATGTTTCTGGTACACTCACATATATGCATCCAAGTTGTGTTCTGTCAGAGTCAAACACCTGGTAATAGTGCTGCACGAAGCTGGAACCTATCTGCTCCCACGGAGGCTGGTCCACCATCCTGAATCTCCCTGCAACACACTGGGAAGATGGAGAGACAGAAGGGGACCGGGTTAGAGAGATGGTGGGAGGCGGAGAAAAATTTAAAAAACATGGGGGAAAAATTAAAGTGTGAGAATGATCATATGTTTCAATTTCTTCTAGTCACCAGTTTACAACACATCTGAAAAACACACCTTAACAGATGAATAATTGTTGCTTCAATTGATGGCTGAGCTTTGCCATGCACATTTTATATTTTTCTGTGTTCAACTGAATAATACAAGAAT